GCTGTGTTCATCCAGCTCTACACCTTGTTATCTCAGATTCTCCAGCATCGGCAGTTCCTGCTATCTTCTATCAGATGAATGTGTTTCTATATTTAATAAAGTTTACAAACACCTCACTTATCCGTCGTGTCCGACTGGTCTACCCAGAATGCCATCCGTTGTGAAAAGCCACCATCAACAATACAGGGGGATTAAAGGCGTTTGTTCACCCAGATTACCCTGCGCTGCAGAAAGCTCCCTATCAGTGAGTATGGGTGCCCAGTGCGGAGAAGTAGAAGCAGGCTGTGATCTGAGCATGCTCAGTGTCAGTCATGGGGTAGCCTGAAAAGGAGCAGATGGTTCAGGTGGCATGAGGAGACTGAGACAGGTTATGAATAACAACTGCAGTACTGAGGCTTGGCAACATTGTCAACTCTTAGGGAAGGCCTGAGGCTCCAAATAGGAACCCATAGGCATGTTTACCCCGCAAGTAGGGAGAGGTCACGGGGGGAGCGGGCTCACTGACTGCCATCTTGTGCGTGGGAGTCAGGGATATGGAATGGGCTCTCCCCAAATGGTTCTGGCAACCGTCTGCTCGCTATCTTGGTGAGGCAATGACCCTGGCAACTGGTGGCCATTTTGTTGAGGGAGTCAGGTCTTTCTCATTAAATGACAGTTACAGCTTTGGAGAAATAGTGAACGGGAGAAGCTAGATGTGTCTTTTCTGACTTTTTTAAATCCTCTATTTACAGACAGGGAAGTCTAATTGAGCACCACGTTAAGATGATGCAGTCACTGCATTCATCAGGACCTGAATATCATTGGACTTTGAATGTGAAAGGAGAAATACCTGTCTGCTTTGCGAAAGGGGAAAGATTTCATACCTCAGAGTGATTGACAAAAAACTGAAACTATCACATACCCCAGAGTGAGAATGTACCAGTTCAATGACTGTGAAAAGACCTTTAACCAGTTACATAGGCTGATTGAGAGTGTTCCAGTGCACTGACTGTGGAGAGAGCTTTAACAAATTACACAGCTTGAAAAAAAACAACATTCACAGTATGGAGAAACTATCCAAGTGTTGTGTGCCTAAAAAAGCCTTCAACTGATCGTTTAATCTGGAGAGACACAAGGACATGCAAAGCATGGAGAAACCGTGGAAATGTGAGGACTGTGGTAAAGGATTCAATTATCCATCTCTGCTGGAAATTCATCGACGCAGTCACACCGGTGAGAGACCATTCATCTGTTCGGTGTGTGGGAAGGGATTTACTAAGTCGTCCAGCCTCATGTACCACCAGCGAATTCACACTCAAGAGAAGCCGTTCAGCTGCACTTACTGCGGAAAAATGTTCAGACAGTCATGCAACCTCACTGCACACCAGCGAATTCATACTGAGGAGAGGCCATTTAGCTGTACTCACTGTGGAAAAAAGTTCAGGCAGTCATCGAATCTCACTGCACACCAACTAATTCACACTGGGGAGAAGTCGTTCATCTGCTCTGTGTGTGGGAAAGGATTTGCTCAGTCATCTGGCCTTTGGTCCCACCAGCGAATTCACACTGGGAAGAAGTTATCCAGTGACACTTGCTGTAGAAAGAGGTTAAAGTCTTCAGCTGACCTCACGTCACAAGGTGATCCTGGAGAGAAGCCATTTACCTGCTCTGTGTGTGGAAAGGGATTTAGTCAGTCAGGCAGCCTCCTGTTACACCAGCGAATTCACACCGAGGAGAGGCCATTCAGCTGCACTCAATGTGGGAAGAGGTTTAAGCATTCAAACACTCTCACTGCACACCAGCGAATTCACACTGGGGAGAAGCCATTCACTTGCTCCAAGTGTGGAAAGGGATTTGCTCAGTCATCCAACCTGGTAGTACACCAGCGAATTCATGCGGAAGAAAAACCTTTAAACTGCACTCACTGTGGAAAGTGTTTCAGATCTTCATCGAATCTCATTGCACATCTGCGCACTCATACTGGGGAGAGACGGTTCATCTGTTCTGTTTGTGGGAAGGGATTCACTCAGTCAGCCAGCCTCATGTTACACCAGCGAATTCACAGTGGGGAAATGCCATTCAGCTGCAGTCAGTGTGGAAAGAGGTTCAGACATTCATCCACCCTCACTGCACACCAGCGAGTTCATACTGGGGAGAAGCCATTCATTTGCTCCGTATGTGGGAAAGGATTCACACATTCATCCGGCCTTTGGTCTCACAAGCGAGTTCACACTGGGGAGAGACAATTCAGTTGCATTGCATGCGGAAAAAGATTCAGATCTGCATCTGATCTCAATGTACATAAGCGAGTTCATACTGGGGAGAGACCATTCACTTGCTCCACGTGTGGGAAGGGATTTACTCTGTCATCCAATCTGCTGACACATCAGAGAATTCATAAGCGTAAACAGAGTAAGAATTCTGCTGTTAATCACATTCAGGATTAATAGTTGATAATTAGTACTTGACAATATCTCTGTTGATGTTAAAACCCCAATAAGTCATAGAGTCTTACAGCATGGAGACAGGCCCTTCGGCCCAAACTGGTCTATGCTGACCAAAATGTCCATCCACACTAACTCCATTTCCCCGCATTCGGCCCATATCCTTCTAAACCTTTCTTATCCATGTGTTCATCCAAATGCCTAGCTCATTCCATATGTGTACCACCGTCTGTGTAAAAAAGTTGCCCCTCAGGTTCCCATGTATTCATAGAATCCCTACAGTATGGAAACAGGCCCTTCAGCCCAACAAGTCCACACCGACCCTCAGAGCATCCCACCCAGACCCATCTCCATCCCCCATAACCCACCTAGTCTACACATCCCTGAACACTATGGACAATTTAGCATAGCCAGTCCACCTAGCCTGCACGTCTTTGGACTGTGGGATGAAACTGGAGCACTCAGAGGAAACTCTTGCAGACACGGGGACAACGTGCAAACTCCACACAGACAGTCACTCGAGGGTGGAATCGAACCCGGGTTCCTGGCGCTGTGAGGCAGCAGTGCGAACCACTGAGCCACCATGCCGCCCCTACTAATTACTATTCTTTCCCCTCATATCTTAAGCTGATGCCCTCTAGGCTTCGATTTCCCAACCCTGGGAAAGAGACAAAGTGCATTCATCCTAAGTGCATGCATGCCTCTCATGATCTTATACACTTCCACAAGATCCCCTTCAGTCTCCAATGCTCCAAAGAAAAAAGTCCTATCTTGTCCAACCTGTCCCTGTAACTCAGTCCCTTGAGTTCTGGCAACAGCCTTGTAAATTTCTTCTGCACTCATTCCAGTTTAATACCATCCTTCCTATAGCAAGGTGACCAAAACTGAACATAATACTGTAAGTGCGGCCTCACCAATGTCCTGTACAACTGCAACGTAACTTCCCAAATTCTGTACTCAGTGCCGTGACTGATGAAGGCCAGTGTGCCAAACGCCTTCTTCACTGCCCTGTCTACCTGTGAATCCACTTTCAGAGAACCATGCACCTGCACTCCAAGGTCCCTCTGTTCCACTACACTCCTTAAGACCCTGCCATTCACCATGAATCTCCTACCTTGATTTGACTTTTTAAAATGCAACACTTCACACTTATCTACATTAAACTCCATTTGCTATTTCTTGGCCCACTTCTCCAGCCAACCAAGATCCTGCTGCAATTTCTGATAACCTTCCTCACTGTCCACGGTACCGCCTATTTTAGTGTCATCCACAAAATTACTAATCATGCCTTGTACATTTTCATCCAAATCAATGATATAGATAACAAACAACAATGGGCCCAGCACCGACCCCTGAAGCACACCACTCGTTACAGACCTCCAGTCCGACAAGCATCCTTCCGCTATTACTCTCTGCTTCTTACCATCAAGCCAATTGTGTATCCAATTTGCCAACTCTCCCTGGATTCCATGCAATCTAACTTTCCAGTGCAACCTACCATATAGAACCTAATCAAAGGTTTTACTGAAATCGATATAGACTATGTCTACCACCCAGCTGTCATCAACCTTCCTGGTCACTTCATCAAAGAACCCTAACAAATTTGTGAGACATGATCTTCCACGCACGAAGCCATGCTAATTACTCCTAATCAAACCTCTGCCCCAGAAAAGATCCCAATGATCCAGGAATCTGAATCCCTGACCCCTGCACCAATTCTTTAGCCACGCATTCATTTGCCATATCCTCCTGTTCTCACCCTCACTAGCTCATGGCACTGGAAGTAATGTGGAAATTACCACTGTCAAGGTCTTAGTTTTTAACTTTTTTCCTCGTTCTCTATAATCACTGTGCAGGACCACATCCCTATTTCTACCTATGTCATTTGTGCCAAGTGTAGTGACTTCTGGTTGCTCACCCTCCCCCTTGAGAACATTCCGCAGCCACTCCGTGGCATCCTGGACCCTGGCATCTGGGAAGCAACACGCCATCCTGGATTCCTGTCTGTGGCCCCAGAATATCCTGTCTGTCCCCCTAACTGTCTAATCTCCTATCACTGAGGTCCTACTTACCTTTACCCTTTACTGGTGTGCCCTAGAGCCAGTTGTAATGCCACCAACCTGGCTACTGGTGCTTTCCTCTGATGGGTCATTCCCCCGCAACAGTATCCAAAATGGTATACTTGTTTTTGAGGGGAATGGCCACAGCGGATTCCTGCACTCTCTGCCTACTCCCTTTGCCTTTCCTGGTGGTTACCTAGCTATTCTCTACCTGCACTTTAGGTGTGACCAGCTCACTAAAACTCTTATCACTGATGTGCTCAGCATCTTGGATAATCCTGAGTGTATCCATCTTCAGCTCCCTAACATTGTCTCCCAGGAGCTGCAGCTGGGTGCACTTCCCACAGGTGTAGTCATCAAAGATGATGGAAGTCTCCCTGATCTCCCAAATCCCGCAGGAGGAGCATGTCACTGCCTTAACTACTGTCTGAAATGCTCTAAGACTAAAGAGGAAAGTTAAAAGGACTTTACCTGAGCTTACCTGTACTTCTCACTCTGCTACCAACAAATTTTCAATAGTACATCTCTCTCCCCTTTTTTTTGGGTTAGAGGAGGAGGGATGGAAGGAAACACTACAGTGATGTAATGTTTGGAGCTTACGTACTTCTTGATACCAGGCCCACAACAATCTGCTCGTCTGTGCAGGTGACACACTTCCAGACTCTAATGTATGTGCCGAAGTGATGCCTCTCCCTATCGTTTGGCCTAAACTGGACGTCTTCCTCCTGCTGATCACAGGGGCTGTTGCCAGATGATCCGCTCCCCAATGTGGGTGATGCTTCCAGGCTCTGATGTACGAGCCGAAGTGACGCCTGTCCCTCTCAGTCACCCTATGCTGGACCACTGAATTGTATCTGTTCTGATTTTTGAGGCTGCAGTGTCCCTTGCATTGTCTTTCACTTAATTCCAGAACTCCCAACAGGTGCTTGATTACAATGCACTTATCAACTTTTACTTTAAACTTCTATTGAGCTTTGGTGCAAACTCTCCAATACAGTGTCTGAAAAGTTCCATTGATGACCATCTCCAATTAGGCATTGTTGATTAATCCTTGCTGATTACTCTTCGACTTGCACAGAGCAGCATTTTGGAATTAAATTGTCAAGGTACAAGAAACAATGTAGTGAGATATTTTACAGAAAAGTAAAAACTTCATAAATCAAGATCATTAGTGATGAAATTTGCAAGTTTCTGAATTTAATCATTTTTGACACAGCAGCAGCAACATTTGGTAAAACTAGGAGCCGTAACAAGGACTGGTTTGAGACCTGTTCAGCAGGTGTGACATGTCATTGAAGAAAGAAACAATCTCACCTAATGCACAACAGCAAGCCAACATGCTAGAACATTACATCACCTGAAAGTAGCCAAAGCTGTTGTGTGATATAGAGAGAGCTTCTGTGCAAAGAATTGTTGGATCAAACTTGTCAAGGAATCCAAACTGCCTTGACAGTGGACATGTTGCATTTGTTGGGATCAAGTGGAGCAACAAGGTTGAAATCACGTTATTTTAATTCTCACTGACAAATGTAAATAGATGTCCCACTGGATTGTGCACAACTTTCAGTTTACTTCCTCTGAGATGCACATTTGCCAGTTTTTGTTTGGCATTTTCAGCAGTTTCCATTTGTCATTAAGTTTGACAAGGATCCCTCATCACTTGAACTGGAAGCGGCCCTTGATTGCTGAGCAAGCAGAGAGATCCCTGGCAAGGATGGAATCACAGCTGAACTGCTCAAATACAGAAGTCTGATCTATTGCTGCACATTCACAACCACCTATTCTCTTGAAAGGTGGCAACCCCTGAAAAAGCCTGTCTATTTGAGATGGAAGGAAGCAGAAAACATGACCATATAGGCTGGTTAACATGATCTCTGTCATAGGGAAGCCTTTATAGAGTCAGTCATTAAAGAGATTACACTTATGCACTTGGAATCATAAAATCCCTACAGTTTGGAAGCAGGCCGTTGAGTTCTCAGCAATCCACTGAAGAGCATCTTACCCAGACCCACATTTCCCTGGATACTATGGGCAATTCAGCATGGCCAATCCATCTAACCTGTACATCTTGGGAGAAAACTGACAAAGACACAGGGAGAATGTGCAAACTGCACACAGACAATCACCTGAGGGTAGAATTGAATCCGGTTCCCTGGCGCTGGGAGGCAGCAGTGCTAATCACTGTGCCACCACAGAGAAAACAAAAATCAGGAAGACTCAGCATGACTTCATCAAAGGAAAATCATGTTTAACCAGTTTATCGGAGTTTTTTGAAGCAGTAATTACCATGCTATGGATAGATGGGTATGTGTCCATGTACTTAGATTTTGAGAAGCTATTTAATGATGTGCTATTTTGAAGGTTATTGCAGAAAGTAAAAGCCCGTGGACATAACACATTAACATGGATAGAAGATTGTCTTCTGCTAGCCAGCCAATAAATGGGTTTTTGTCTGATTAGCAGGATGTGATGAATAAATTTCTGTCGGGGTCTGTGCTGGGGACTCAGCATTTTGCAACTTACATCTGTGATGATGCTGTCACTTTAGCAGTTTATTTCGTCATTTTTTTTTGAAGAGAGGTTGTAAGGCAGAGGAGGTGAGCTACTTAGTTAAGACCACTTAAGTAAACAGCCTGGGAGGCCTTGGGCTTTTTTAACAACCTGAATGGGTGTGGCCAGCTCTCTTAGATTAGGATTTCTAGGTTTTCGATTTTTCAGTAGCATCAGAAGCTATTGAGGTCTTATCAGAGTTGGAGCCTCCAGTGAATGTCTCCTGGCTGCTACTGTCTCTGAATTTTTCTCTTGGTGTTTTTCCCTCCAGGGTTGGAGAACTACATGTGAGAATCTGTGTCTGAGTTTTCCTTTTTAGCCACGGGGTGTGGTTATAGGATGTTACAATATTGGAACAGTTAATTAGTAATAGTTACTGTATCTGTTATTCTGTTAAGTTTTCCATCAGAGTTGTTATTCTAAATTCCTCTTACTTTGGCTTAAATAAATTGTTTTGCTCAATGCCGAGTAGTTTGACCAGTCACATTGCATTTTGAACAGGCTCTTCACGTTTGCCTCTGAAAATAAGAAAAAGTTGGGATCTTGGCTACCTTCTTAAAGTATTTTGAGGGTGTCTGGTCTGGTCCATAACAAAATAATGGGATAGCTAAGAGGAGTGAAGGAACAGTAGTTATATCGCAGATAACCCCAAGATAGTTGGAAAGCGTGTTGTGTAAAAGGCCTAAGGAAATTATAGATGGATATAGCTAGGTTGAGTCACAGAGTCGTACAGCATGAAAACAGACCTTTTGGTCCAACTTGTCCATGCTGACCAGATATCCTAAATTAATCTAGTCCCATTTGCCAGCATTTGACCTGTATCCCTCTAAACCCTTGCTATTCGTGTACCCATCCAGGCGCCTTTTAAATGTTGTAATTGTACCAGCCTCCACCACCTCCTCTGGCAGCTCAGTCCATACAGACACCACCCTCTGCGTGAAAAAGTTGCCCCTTAGGTCCCTTTTAAATCTTTTACCCTCTCACCTTAAACTTATGCTCTCTCGTTTTGACTCCCCTATCCTGGCAGTTGGAGTACAACGTGGAAAATGCCAAGTTGTTCACTTTGGCAGTGTTGGATATTCTTTTTTTCTTCTTAAAGAATAACCAGTCGTCAATAGGTAAAACTTCAAGGATTTTTATTAAGAAGCAGTGACAGTTACATTCTGGTTGCCAGGATAAGCGTGTAACTGCGTCGATTCTAAGTTTGGCTTACATTTTAAACATTAAGACGCTGATGGCTTTATCAAATTATATTTTGTTTTCAAGCCTTAGCAGCACAATAAGCAAATTACAACATGACATTCCATCAGTAAGTCACTTGACTTGAACCCTTGTTACATTGGTTAAGTTCAGTTTGTGGTAGCTTGTGTGCGTGCTTCGAAAAGCTATTCAACACTGTTTGTCACATAACCCTATTAGCAACAGAAACAAATTTAACTGTTATATGATATTAACTCAATCACACCATTTTCTTATATCCCCACACCTTCCCTCTTTTGATTCTTCCCAAACAGAATCACACAAGCAAAGCAAGCTAACAGTAATATGTAGAGTTCTTAGGGCATTGGCGAGCTGCAAGATATTGAACTTTGGGCTTTAGCATTTGTTGAATACAACATCTAAGCAACATGAAGGCAAAATACAGGACAAGAATTAATAAAAGAAAAACTACCATACCCTGTCCTATTGACGTACCCAATGATCCCAACCAGCTGGTTGCCCAGCTCCACAGGGTCAAGGATGGGGGCTGTTTAAATTTGTCCATCTCTTTACAGATATGGTCAGCTAAGTCAGTTATCTGTTTAGAGTTATCAGGGATATAGGTGCAACATCCCTGACCCATGAAGGCACAGTGCCACGTTTCTCAGCTAAGATCCAGTCCAGAGCTATGCGATTCTGCATGGAGATGGCTCGTAGAGCAATCATTTCCGCATTAATCTTATCAAGGTCCTGAGAGGTGTCATTGGCTATCTGTTCTAGGATAGCTGCCATATTGATAGATTCTCTCGCTAGTTTGGCTGTTCCGTACGGGATGGGGGTGGGGAACAGAATAGCAAAGATGAGGTCGTTGACTTGCTCGCCAAGCTGGCTTGTTATTGTCCAGGCGTTTTGTCACCATGCTAGGTGACATCATCAGTGGAGCCTCCGATGAAGCGATGTTATTCTACTCCACTTGGAATTTATACTGTCCGGTCCATTATGGTGAGTACTGTCATTTCTGGTTTTGATCTGTATGTGTTTGTATATGGGGTCCAGTTCTATGGTTGTTGATTGAAGTATGGGTGGAGAACTCTGCCTCTAGGAATTCCCGTGCATGTCTGTGTTTGGCTTGGGCTACTATGGTTACCTTGTCCCAGTTAAATTGATGGCCTTCCTTGTCTGAATGTACCGATATTAAGGAGAGTTTGTCTTGGCGTTTTGCTGCTAGCTGATGTTCATGTATTCAGATGGCTAGTTTCTTTCCTGCATGTCCGAAGTAATGTTTGTGGCAGTCGTTACATGGTATTTTTGTAAACTATATTGGTTCTGCATGTTGTGGCAATCGGGTCTTTAATCCTTGTAAGTGATTGTCATAGAGTGGCTATGGACTTGTGAGCCACCATGATTCCTAGTGTTCCAGGCCAGGACACACTGCAACACTCCAGAACTACGCAGGAAAGAGGAAGAACACTTATAGAAGATCCTCGCTTTAAACGGATATCCCCGCAACTTCATGTACAGATGCCTGTTAAACAGACAACAGTAGGAGGACACAGTATGACCTGAGACACTGGCCACACTGCCATACATCAAGAACGTATCGGAACTGACAACAATACTCCTAAGACCACTAGGAATCATGGTGGCCCACAAGCTCACAGCCACACTACGACAAAAACTTACAAGGATTAAAGACCCCGTTCCCACAACATGCAGAACGAATGTGGTTTACAAAATACCATGCAATCACTACCACAAACATTACATCGGACAGACAGGAAGAAAACAAGCCATCAGAATATATGAACATTAGCTAGCAGCAAAATGGCACAACAAACTCTCCTTAATATCAGTACATTCAGACAATGAAGGCCATCAATTTAACTGGGACAAGGTAACCATAGTAGCCCAAGGCAAACAAAGACACGCACAGGAATTCCTAGTGGCATGGTTCTCCACCCATACTTCAATGAACAAACATATAGAACTGGACCCCATATACAAACCCATACAGATCAAAACCAGAAATGACAGTATTTGCCATCATGGACCGGACAGTATAAGTTCCAAGTGGAGTAGAATAACATCGCTTCATCGGAGGCTCCGCTGATGATGTCACCTAGCATGGTGACAAAACGTCTGAGCAAAAACAAGCCAGCTCAGCGAGCAAGTCAACAACTTCATCCACAACCGAGCTACAGATCTTTGCTAAAACTTTAGAATAGCAAAGAATTGTTCAGTTTCTGTGATGGCACGTTTGTGTATCATAGAGTGAATTTCAAAGAGGATGTAAATGTGATGAGTAAATGGGACTACACATGCAAGGAAACACGAACCTGTCCATGTTGGTTGGCGGGGTGGGGGGGTGCAACCAGGCATATGCCTTGTGTCCACAAACAAAATACGTGCCATTGTATGGCACAACTAAGTTATATTGTCAGAAAACAAGACGTGGTCAAACGTTCCTGCTGACATGAATTTAATAAAATTAAGTTCAGCTGGAGGCCAAGCATCAAGTGTGACACTGAAATATTGGGTACATGTACTCTGACCTGCAGACCAACCCCTAGGCTCAGATGTAGTGAGGCAAATAGAATGTGCTGGTTTTCCTACCCTTGATGTATTAGTGATGGTGACAAATGGTGGAGTATGCAAGGTATTAAATTGAGGTTGATACCAACCTTCAAATGCCAAAAAGCTGTACCCTGCCGATTCCCACTTATCTCAGGTGCCTTTAATGCCCACCCAATGTACCCCTCTCTCTGCAGAAGATGCAGCAGTCATGTGAACCCCAGCCATTAGGGATTCATTCTGGTGAATGACCCATTCTGTCACTTCAGGTATATTAAAAGGAATGGGCCTCAGGGGGATATCACCCTTTGAACGTATGGGAATGTGAGAGCAAACCCAGCAGCTGGAGACATTGGTATGCTCAGCATAAACGTGAGACATATACAAAAAGTGTTTACATTGAGTTCAAGCTTTACAATAAGTCCTCCCGCTGCAAGGGGGATCAGTATAGTTATGAGTCCCAAAAGTAACAGCTTGTTCATGATGGATCAGGGGCCTTAGTTCTTTTAATGTGAGATGTGTGAATCCAAGCTTTCTTGCCTCATACCTTGACAGCTGATGCTGTTGTAAGGAGAACTCAATGTGGGCCTTCCCACTTGGCACCCAGTGGCTCTTTATGTATTTTCTTAACGTAGACCCATGTTCCAGGAACTATATTGTGTCCACCTTCGGGGATCTCCCCAAGCTGCTAACACCTGTTGGGAAGCAGAACTGACAGCGTTGGTTAGATCCTGACAATACTTTAACAACGAGTCACTTAGTAGATGGCAATCCACTGTCCTAAGGTCTGTTGTGCCAGGTAAAGACATGGGTAACCAGTTATCACCTCAAAAGGACTCAGGCCCGTGGCTCTGTTTGGGGTGGCTCGAATGCTACATAGGACCAGAGGTAGAGCTTGAGGCCAAGGCAATCCTTCTTGATGATACTAAGCTAGGCATCGTTTCAGAGTACAATTTGTGTGTTCCACCTGTCCCGATGGCTGC